GGAAGTGCTTTCATCATCTTTGGGCCATATACTTTCAGGTGGCTGTGGGGTGTTTTGTTTTGTTTTATTAACATAATACTCTGCTGGGTGCTACTTGATACCCTGACCTTCTAAGTGAGAATTCTCTAAGCTCTCGTTCATTAAAATACACAAAACAATGCAAAATTAGCTTGGAAAAGATGAAGTGCAGGGTGAAGGGGGGGGAGAAAAAAGAGGGCATTTTTATGTTGTGAGGTTAACTTACCCACTACTTATTTTTGTAGAAGTTGAAAAAGAAAGTGTACTATTTGAATACTCTTATTAGTGATATTTAGAAACAGGAAAACAAGGGGTAAGAAACATTACCTACTATCTTTGTTAAATAACATAGCTTATTGGTGGTTCTTTTTTATTGTCCCCATAGGTGTGGATATCTATTGTCACCTAGCAACTGATGAGCTGCTTCATCAGTAGTGGAAGGGCATATGCATGTGAAGAGATCTCTGCTTTATAGCTAGATACATCTAATATATTAATCAGTTACAGGGTGTGTAGCTTATTATGAGCTTGTAATTATTAGCTAAGAGTGCTCAACTCATCTAACTTTTTGAGAGTTGCAAGTTTTCCTTCAGCATGTGAATCTTGGAAGAGTGACGTTTTCTTCCTCTCAGGAAGACTCAAACGAGTGTTAGCTTTGTAATTGTGGTTAGTTGTTAATTTTGGAATTTTTGAATCTCTACAAAACAATTACTTCAAGAATTGTTTTTTCTCCTGCATGGATGTATTCTGTTTCTCTTACAGCCTGACCGACCATCCTTTCCCAGCTTGGGAATCAATCATCCCATTTCTCCTCTGTACGCCTTCCAGAACTTTCCGGACGCGGCACACACCAAAAATGTCAATTCACAATGTCCAGTACCAAAGGCAGGCACTTTGACTTTTCTGTTTGGTTAAGAATGTGATAGCGTAAAGCATTGAAGCCTAACGTTTGAAGTATTTCTCAAAATGCATAAATAGTTACTCTGTATCCCAGTACTCTTAAACTCCCTGTCATGAACATTATAGCTATTGGTAATAGCTAATGCTTGTTTTTAGGTTGCTTATTCTTGCATGCTTTGCTGCACAGAAGTGCTATGCAAGGTACAGCAACATTAATCCCTGAAAAGTGTGCTCTCTGAATACACTTCCTGGCCGGCCATCCTATCGGGAGTAGCTCGCTTTCTTCAACCTGCAACTCTTTCTTTTCTGCAGATTCAGTTTAACACGCAGCTTTCTAAAGTGAACCGATGTTCAGATGTTCAGACAGTGACTGCAACGAGTCATCCAGCAAATAAGGAGAAGTAAGTGTCAGCTATTGCATTTTTAGTGGTTTTTTTAATTACAGTTTTTATAAAGCCGTTTACCTTCTCTGTCTGGAACCGAGCAGAACATTTCCAGTACCACGCTAGTTCTGTGATTTGCCTTTTGCTGTCAACGTGTTCATGAATTTTAAGTTGTGGCAGCCTTAATTGGTCACTAAGCACAGTTTGTAGATAACGAAGGAAGAGCCATGCTTTTGGGAGTTGGTGACGGGTCAAAAAAATTAGTTCTAGACTGTTCATCTAGGGTGATGGTTTACTTTTAAATGCTAAAGTTCATAGGCATGCAGTAGTTCCAGTTCAACTTCAGATTTTTTTGAATGAGTCTGTATCCACGTGTTGTTAATTACATTTGTTTTAGATTTTAATTAGCCTTTTTATTTCTAGTGGTGATAATTTGGGACTGGACTCAAAGTATTTCAAGAAAAAAGATGACAGCATTCCTTTACGAGGGCTTAGTCAAAATACACTTAACTCAGGTATGTATGGAAATCGTGAAACAAGATCTTATTTGAAATAATGTACTTACTTAAAGGATAATAACAGTTAGAGTTTTATGAACAGCGTCTCTTTTCTGCTATTTTCTACAGAGTATCTGAAACCATACTTACCAACAAAAGCCCAGCAGTCACCAAAAGCTGCAGTAACACCAGCCTCAGCTTATTTTCCTGGATAGCAGATAGGGCTCTTAAATTGAGAGTCCTCTCTTCACCATTTGGGGGATTTTTTTGCATGTTCTGTAATAACGTATTAGTGAAGTACCAACGTGAACTGACATAGTTTTGTAAGTCTGAATCTGTTTTCTTTGAGCAAGATACCTTGACTGACTTGGATGACTTTTCAGGCTACTGAACCTACAGAAAAGATAAAGCTTTAAGCAGCCTCAGCTTTAGTGGGACCGCCGCCATAGTGAAGTCACGGGGGCTGTGCAGCATTGTCTCTTAGTGTATTGGAGACCCTGTAGTCTTCCTAAAAACCCACCGAAGTGCATTGACTTTTTCATTACAGGAATTGACAAGTGTGGCTCTGGAACAGATGAAATGTACCCTCTAGCAAGCATTTCTCTGTGAATATTTTTTTCTGGACTCCTTTCAGAGAAAGGATGATGCAAGTAGAAGGCGCTGGAGAACTGGGCGATGCTGTCAATTTTAATAATGCTGAAGCTCTTAAGTTAGCATGACAGCCTTGCTAATCCTCCCTTACAATTTTAGTTTTAAAAACTTCCTTAATTTTGGAACCAGCTTAGTCCAATTCCATATAAACTTACAAACAATCTAATTTAATATTACAGATGCTAAACTACGTCACTGAAGGTATAGAATTATAATTCAAAATTCTCACTCTCAGTTAGGGTAACTTCTCTATTAATCAGTCAGTATTCTACATTCCACAGGCCACCATGCATACAACGTTATAAGGTGAAGTGTCTGCACAGTTAACTATTGAAAGTAGCCCAACAGCTAAAAGCTACTTTATTTTTACTAATCATACTTTACAACTGTAAGACCATATAGAAATTTAAGATGTTCAGGTGGACTGAGTCTATTCAGCTTGTTCTACTACTTGGGTTCAAATGCTAGAATCATGTAACAGCTTCGTTCTGTGCCATCTTTTACTGGGTGTCCCATTAAAGAATGAGCACGGAAGTATTTGTAACATACAAGATAGATTTTTCTATCGTTCTTTATCTTTCTTAACACTTTCTTTAATGACTATTTGTGTCCTTTTGTCATTGAAGAGATTTCATACCTTTACCGTAGTTATTTAAGTGCAGCCAGAGGATTGTGTATTTAAGTGGTTTGCAGTGCAAAATGTGTATATTTGTTTATAAATCAGCACCATGTTAAGTGTATATTCTCTGGTTTTTGGCATGTGTTAAGTTTCAATGGAAGTATTAAATGGTTTTTATCAAAACCTCTGATTCAGAGTAATGCCTTAAAGAGTACGAAACCAACATCTCCACTGTATGGAAATTCCCAGATGAGGTAAGTGCCAGAACAGTACTCTGTTATTCACCTTACCTTTTTCTGGAGTTTTCTTCCCAGCTTATTGCTTTGCCCACGCAACGCAGTGCTACTGGACGGGCACTATGATGCACGTACAATCCCCAGATGGCAGCCACTCCCTTTGAAGGTCTGTGCTAATGCTACTATTTCTAGTTAAGTTTTAGTAGGTGTACAGTAACACAAAGGGTTGAAGTATGTGTCGGCTGCTCTCAAAGAGGAAGCTGGTAATTTAAGACAGGGTAGCTTTTCCAGGTCTCCTCGTCCTATTCAGCTCTCAAATGAAACCAAGGCCGTAGGGGGCCATTGCGGGGGGTCCGGGAGGCCGGCTGGCTCCGCTACTGCCCCCCCATCTCCGGCAAGCCTCTGCTGCCGGGATGGCACCAACGTGCTCGAGGCAGCCTTAGCCAAGAGCTCAGACGCGGTGCTGGACCTGCATGCCAGACTTTAATTCCCACCTGCTGAAGTACAACACACGTATGCTACAGAACTTCAATTAAGGTTTTAAGAGGCAGTAGCAATTATTTAAAAATTCATTAAAATATTCAACTTTATTAACAGTCTATTTACATATTTTTTCCTGCACTTTGTCAACCATGGTGAATGTTCAAAGGTAAAAAAGCATTAAGCAATAACCACAAGATGAAAACATTTTAAACCTATACAATACTTTATACACAAATTTATACAAAGGAACACTTAAATAATACAACTGGACACAAAAATATACACTTTTAGAGAAATTCACATCGGTAATTGTATAAAGCTCTCTTCTGTACTAAGGGTCCTGAAAATTTAGGACTAAAACATTAGCTCTGTAATGCAAAAGGGTTATTGTGACAGTCCTCAAAGGCCACTATATAGCACACGGACATATTCAAGGCTATCAGCTTATATTTCAGTCTGTGTATTCAAGTTTTGAGGTCCTTTATGATTATGCAAACATCAGAAATATAGTGGTATAATAAACGGTACTTAAGAAAGCAGAGTGTTAGAGCCAACATTCAAATTTGTAGGCTCAAAACACCCACTTAATATTTAAACAAGTGTTTGACACTACCGTTTATTCAAAAATAGAAAAAGTAAATGCACTTACATAAAAATAACTTTTACTGTTCAGCAAGCGTGCTCATGTGATTTTTCTATTAGTACAAACTTAAAAAAACCAAACCTGCCATATGACTTCTAAAATAAATGATACCAATTCACCTTCTCCCTACTTGAGTACATTTACATTAAGGCTTTGAATCATCTGACCCAGGATTTTACAACATTAAAATGAGTGGGTCCACATGGATGCTCGTTATGTCTCACTGAGACGTAGCATGACTAGAATTAAAGCTCACCACCTTAAGGAAACAGAAGGACACATGCTCATGCCTTGACTCTATTGTCTCTGAACTAGAATGTAAAGTTTAGTAGTAACAGTATTCCATGGCAAGAAACAAGTACGTAACAGTTTGGTTTTAAAAGCAAATTATTAATTCAATGGCAACATCTTTGGAGAAACTTGTTTTGTTTTTTTAAAATTCCTACGGATTTCATGCAGGAAGGTACTTCTTAAGTTTACCTTAAGAAATTACATTTTTGATGGAACTGGAATGTGTATCCCAAATGGCTGATGAAAAAAAAAAAAACCAAACAACCACCAAACCAAACTAAAAGCTCTTCCTGGATTTTTGTCATACATTTGTATCTTGCAATAATGGTTCTTTAGCTTCACCTGGAGCTTGTGGACTGTGGGGATGGCCGTGGCTGCCACAGTGTTTCTTCCAGTTGCTGGATCGTACATTTAGGTTGGTGTGCTCAGGAATAAACAAGGCAACAAGTAGTGCCAACAGCACCGAGCATGCGCCAAATAAGAATGGGGGTCCAGGAATTATAGAATTCTGAAAACAATGACAGGAACACAAAGTATTAATGAACCTTAACAGACTACAATCGATAATTACACAAATGTCTAGCGTGGGAAGAACTTTTTCTTGTTACACTTGCCAACCTAGTATTTGTCCCCACGTGGAGACTTTTAGAAGAAGAATGTTATATCCGAAGATTTAGGAGAGGGAGCGTATGGCTCATTAATGCTTGCCAACTTCCTTTTCTATTTTTTTTAGTTTCCTCAACAAATTACTATCTATCAGGAGCTAAAAAAAACCCCGCAGAGAGCTTGGTTCAAGGACAACAGAACAAAAGGTAAATACGATGTCAGGGAGACAAAAAGAAGAGTGGGATGCTGTTGTGATCAGTCCATCCTTCCCTCAATCTATTCTCTCTTTACGAGGGACATCAGTTGTCTAATTACTATCCATCGGCTCTACCTCTTTGAAGTTAAACTAAACCATACTGTCTAGTTAAAAACAAACAAGCGGATCAGCAACACTCCCCAAGAACTTTTTACACGCTTCATTTACAGCTAACAAAATGTAATGCAGCATCATACTCAGAAACCAATGGGCACCTGTTTTCTCCCTAATTTCTTTTTTTTTGGAATGGGTAAGTACAAGAATAATACCTGTTGTAAATGGTATTGTGTGACCATGCTGCCTCCGGAGGGCGATTCAGGCATGGGGAGTTCATTCAGTTCAACGTGAAATATATAAAATATAAAACCGTAAAGTGCTGGGCCCAAACCATTACACAGTCCTCGAATTCCTGTTATCATCCCTTGAACAACACCTGGGACAAGTAAAACACACTGTTATCTATCTATATTCATACATACATGTTTGTTTAACTATTCACTTCACCTTCAAGCTGATGCAGGCTTCTCTACATGGCATTGCACCATGGGTAGCAATAAACAAGGGGCATAGAAGAGCTGTCATTATAGTGTAGTCAAGGGTTTTTCCATCTCCCCGTAAGCACGGAGTAGCACTTCCCATGCTATGCTCATTCAGAGAGCAGCAGATACACACTACCCTTCTATCAGTGTCTCACACAGGGGAGTAAGCACCATACACAACCTGGACAACCAAGCAAACTTATCAGATGTGAGGAAGATGACCAGCGTATTAAGTTTGTTGAATATTTTGCTACTGTTGGGACATGTTGAATGTTTTCCTTCTGTGGCAGAAGGACGTGATACACATGTGCAACAACTTCCAAGTAACTTGGATTTTTAACATTTTGTGACCTATGCTCAAGTCTACGGGCTAGTCTGTGCCAAGACTCGGGCCGACTGAAGCGTACTATGACAACACCCTGACACAGCCATCTGCATTCTAGTCAAGGAATACTGTGAGAAGTATTAGCACAAAGCCTACCCTGTTGGTCAGCATCAGCAGTGCGTGAAACAAGCGCGCTTACAGCTGGGAAAGTGATACTGGACATGGCTGCAACAGCACCAGCTGCCCACATCATCCTGCAAAAAATACAAAGTAACTGCTCTGCATGGACAGCGTTCTCCATTTGCAGCATATATATGCACGCACGGACTCACACACACTTAAGTGCCCTTGAGTAAAGGGCAAAATGCAGAAAACCACCGTATCATTCAGATAGGAAGTGAAATGTACCTACCATGGTTCCGATCCAAAGCCATACCACGCAAGTTGTAGTATTTGAAATCCTAGGCCCAGTAGGATGGTATTTTTATTTCCAATGGACCGCATAAGTAAACTCAAAACTATGGTCTGACAGAGAGGGGAAAACAAAAACCAAAATAAACAAGAAAGAAAAACGTAACATTTTATTCTAAATGTTAAATAAATGCAGATAAATAAATTACTTTAAAATGCAAGTAAAATTTTCCAAAAGCAGTATTTGCCAAGTACTCGGGAGCCTCTGCCAAAAACACAGCATCACTTAGCCAGCAACGTGAACAAACCGTCACTCCTTCTTTCATGCACAAAGAATTTCGTTTTCCCAACACAATACACTTCGGCTATTAATGAACCGAACCCTGGTTGGCGAGCGGTTCTTTCATCTAAGTTGCAGCAAGAGCGTTCATCAATTGTTAGAGACTCTAGAAAAACAGCTACAGAAAAGGCAAGTCCCATTTCTGGAACCGCAGTGTTATGGAAGTTCTCCACAGCGCTCAGCTCTTCCTAAGTTACCAAATCAATGAAATGCACAGCCGTAACTCACCTGTGCAATAATGGAAAGAATCCCAAGGACTGCTATAAACGCTGCAACACTTTCAGATGAAAACCCCATTATCTATATTAAAAAAAGGCAATCTGATTAGTAACCATAAACCATGTATCATGATGTCACGAACATCAGTGGGGGCACATGCAATGCAGAAGACCGGTATTATTCTATTCCTCCTTAACTTAGGAAAAAAGTTGGGCTTGTTTTTTTTCCCCCCATTAAATCAAGCAAGCATACAAACATAAAGGGGCAGAAATAGAAAACAAGTAACTGGTTTCCTCAAAAAACAGTGAACCTTGTAGTCCACAAATAATGCAAGTAATTACAAAGTATGAGAAATTGCTTCCCAACTCATTCATCTCTCTTTTTGTCTCTCTAAAAAGAAAAAAACAGAACAGCCAGAGGACTTAAATCAGCTGCTGGAAGCTTTTAAATTATACTAGTGAGTGATACTTTCTGTATTAATTCAGCAATACTGAAAACTTTCCTATAAATTTACTTTTCTTCAAATCTGTACCAAACGTTACGTTACCTGTCTGAGGTACAGGAAGAAGCTGGAGTATTGACCTGCCTCCGGGAGGTAGGAGAGAAAGACTGTTATGCAGATTAGCAGCACAATTGAGTCCTGGCCAACTTTCTTCAGTGACTATGGCAAGAAAAAAGTATTACAAAACATTTAATCTTGCCATTCAAAAAAGCACTCCTAGCAAGAATCTGAAAGGCATGTCACTTAATAAAGCTACTATGTGGTACCACCAAAACATTCCCTGCGCGTTTAGCAAGATCGTTGGCAAAAGTATTAGCAGCGATGCAAGGTTAAACTTGAAAAAATACAGGCTCTGTTTTTCAAGCTTGAAATGTAGTAAATTCAGTCCCTCCTCTGTCTCAAAAGCTCAACATTTACAAGAAACAAAACATTCCATATTTAAATAGCTTACTGCAAAAGGGTCAGCCTGTTCCCACGAAATGGGTGCTCCCCAGGATGCTGGCCTCATCTTCTCCGGCAGCGACTCCGGTACAGCAACAAGAATAAAACAAATGTCCAGCAAGGCTATTGCTGTAGCCAGGACCACCACCAGGCTGTCTCCGTAGACTCGACCAAGGTAGGCACCAATAGCAGGGCTGGTAACTAAACTTGCTGCAAAAGTTGCCGAAACCTAGAACAAAGAACAGCTGGTAAGATTTTCAATGATATGTCAACAGTATTATTGCCCACTTTTCCTCATTTTCAAAAGCCTAACCATTTTAATCAGGTAGTGATTAAATGTAACCTTTTCCCTGTGACTATGTGGTAGCAGCTGTGTATTTCAGTCACAATTTTTCAAGAAAAAATTTTTTTTTTTTGGATAACTGGACAGCAATCTGAGGCTCACAGCACTCTTGCATGTACTGATGTAATTAGGTTTAATTAACTATACAGTCTGCTGATATCTTTGGGAAGTGATGAGCTGTATTTAATCTTCACATTACTGAAAGATGCAATGCCTGTTAAGAAAAAAAAAAAAAAAAAAATCACATGTATTACATTTCACATGCTGGTTAATGCACCTCAGTACAATGGATCTTCAGAAAGTAGTTTTCAGTTAACCAGCTGGCCTTGTTGTGAAAGATGCTAACTTTAAAACTGAATGAACTTTCTCAACGTGTCTCAACCCCTGATGTGTACAGGCAGAAAGAAACGATTTAGTTGTATATCCATTGCTTTCGGCTCTTCCTGCTGGATATGATAATGGATTCTGTAACTTGAATGAAACAAATAATTCTGCTAATACGTAATATGCAGGGCTGTGAAGGCTCCTGAGACCTGGCAGGTTACTGGGAGATAATGGAGAAATGGAGATGAGTTGTAAGAACTTAAGACAGACAAGTTACTCGGCTACATTTGTTGTGAACTGAAGCACAGCAGTGTCATTGGAGACACGAGCAGCAGTAGTCAAGATATCGTACAATGCCAGCTCCAAAGTTATCCAGGAACAAAAGGTTAGATTTTTGAAAAGATGACAGAGAAGTACTAGTGTGAGAAACAATGGACAAATAACTAAAACCCCTCAAATGACATCATTAACAGTGATAGTAACTGTTGTGACAGACCCTTGAAAGACAGCTTTCAACACAGTCATACTTTGCTTAACTTAGAAGCAGAATATTGAAGAGATATGGGGCTGAACGACAAGAACAATTAAACAGAAAAACCTTACTCCAAACTAAAAGCGCCTTGCCACAGAAGAAACAAAAATACAATTTTAAAAAACTTTACTACAGAAGTGTTCAGTACTAAATACCACAGGAACAGAGCCAAAAAAAATACATACCAAACCATAGGCCATGCTTCTTTCATGTTCTTGGGTTATGTCTGCTACATATGCAAAAACCACAGAAAAGGTCACTGCAAAAACTCCAGAGACGGAGATAACAGCGAAGTACCACCTAAGAACATTATAAAAAAATTAGAAGAGCTAAAGAGAAACAAAAAGTCTCTATTTACAATCCAGGTACAGTTCAACAGCAAATTATCTCGTCCAACTTTTCCTGACAAATATTAAGATAAACTTGGATAAAGTCAATGTGAATGTGTCCTGATACAGTCGTGTAACTCCTCTTTAGTGCACCGTTTACAAACAGCATAATTTTGTAACATCCAAAAAAGCTGCTGTGATTAAGTACTTGTAGGAAATGAGGTATTAGACTAACTCTGACTGGATGCCTATGACCCAAAGCAAATTAGGAACTTCAGTATTTTGAGAATCTGGTCATTGAGGGGTCTCAACATTAGCCTTATCTTTGTGCTATAGACAGTAGCACTCGTCATTTGAAACATTAATCTACACTCAGAAACGAGTTACTTCCCAGAAAAGGGATGACGAATCCATGAACGATCTGTGTGACCAGAGAGAAAACTGAAACGGCTCACGGAGCTACCTGAACAGCAGGCTCTGCCCTGTGCCAGGGCAGTCTGTGTTATTTCAGCTACACCCTCAACCACCACCCGCGAGTAAGTCCAACACTGAGAGTTCCGACTCATGTGCTACCTGGGGAAGGTACATGCCAGTTAAGGGCTAACTTGCACACAGTGTGAAAGCTGGTGGATTTTAAAACTTGAGAAACAACAGCATACAACTGCAGCAACATTTTAGGTTACAAATGGTTACTTCATGCAGTAGCTAGCACTAGGTAGCATAGTTGGTTAGTATTTGAGAAATATGGCCACAATAAAGACCCACACAGTTTACTTGAGAGCATTCTACTATCTTTTGCAAGTGTGCTGAAGTAGGAAGTGGGGCCTACAGCAGAGAGTTCAAAACAGCAGCTCTTAAAACTTCGACCAAGGCATTTGACCCCATGGCAGCTACTTCAGTTTGACTCTGTTCTCCCAACTTGGCACAGAAGCAGTACAAAAGCCTCAACCTTCCATGAAGCACAAACAATATTTTATCAACAATGCTACAAACATAAGCATTATATAGCAACCTTGACAAGAAACTGCAAATCCAGTGTGAAAGAATTTACCAACCATGGGCTGATCTTCATTAGTGGTATTGGTGCACAGGTGAAAAACACTGTTAGCAGCAAGAAGGACTTCCGTCCCCACACATCAGACAGGGCACCTATGAGTGGGGCACTGAGAAACGATAGTAAGCCCTAAATGGAACAAAAGATTTTAAGTCAGAACTAAGTGGTCAGAATCGTCACAGCCGACCATACCACAAGCTGCTAGCAGTCTGGGCTCCAGTTTTATTAAAGTCAAGGACTACTGCGCAATGCAAAGGCAATATGGTCAAGCATTACTGATCTTCTATCCCATGTCTGGTTACAGAAAATTTGAGATTTGTTACCTCAGAACTACACAAAATGCAAAATGCAGAAGATTCGGTCATAGTCGCAGTTTTAGGAACTGCGTTTAATAGTTTTATATACTTAGAATTCACATAAACGTAAGTAATTGAAAACACCCTACTGGAGTAACAAGCTCCAAGTAAAAAATTCTCACATTTTAACACCATGTGCGTCATTTGGGATTAGTCAATTACCTTTTTATTTGCTGAACCCAAACAGGAGGTACAGACCAAGCAGTATCTTACTAAAAGTAAAATGATGTATATTTGCTTTTTCAGCAATAATTTATTCCTGTTTTATTTATACCGTGAAAGCTATACTGAAAAACCTCCTGAATGTTTCTCTCAATTGGCAGCCACTTCTATATTCCTCCCACCATTCACTGTCAATTGTACTTGTGATTTAACTTTTGTCACCTCACCTTTACTCCTTGAATTAGACCATTCATTAGAAACGTGTGTTTTGGGAAGGTTTCATGCAAAACCTGGAGAAGAAATACGAACACTATCATTTACACAATATTAACTATCAATACTGCTCATGATGCATCCAGCGTCTACAGTGGCACACACACAGTAGTTCTGTATTTTCATAGAATATAGAGAAAGAAAAAAAAGACAAACCACAAATATTCCATTTAATCTTTAATTCACATAGAAGGTACTTTGAGATTTTAGCTTTACTTGACAGAGGCCTCAGTTTTCCCAACACTTTGGGAAGGATCCCTGTCATCCAACTTCAGTGTCTGAAATCTAAACAGCTCACAGAGAACCTAGAAAATGATCTCCGACCTGACTGTCCCCCTGTTAGTGTCATCTGTAGGGGGCTGGGGAGAGAGAGGAGAGACACATCATTGTTCTGAAGTGCCTCTCAATTCAGTGACCACAGCCCAGATATACAGGTTAAAACGGGCACCTCTCTCCCTCTCACTTGAGTTATGTGGGATGGATTCCATTCGGTGACCAACGTGCAGCTTGTATCCAGGAGAGTGCCCGCAGTTAACATCAGCTTTCGGAGCCGCACCAAGACTGCATTTTAGGTGGAGTCTGCCTAGAGATCTTTAAGCCTTTGCTCCTTTTAATTTGTAAGCATGTGTCACTCTCAAAGGTTAAATCCAAATGGAAAGCAACCAACTACATTAGAAAATAATTTGGTACAAACACGTTGGTATGACTGTCCCGCTAATCACAGGGAAGCTTTGACTGGTGTAACAGGGTCTGCACTCTGAAGCTTCTGTTTAAATCACAGCCAGGTCAGCAAAGATCTCCCTACCTACACACAGACTTACATAATTTTACCAAATTCCAAGTGTATTTTTGTCCTTACATTTGTAATGTGCCAACTTTTTGTAGGATCTTGAAAGGAAAGATAATTTCATTACTGTCTTACTGGTTTCAAGTCAGAAAATATTTACATGTAAGCTTCAGCATTAGCGGACTTGCACATAAACAGCTATGCTGCATCATTACACTGCTGTAATGAAATAATTTAAACTTCCTGGTTCCATGTAAAAATACAAAACTTTTCACTTGCATAACAGAGCAGCTCAATGATATATCATTTTCATTTAATTCAGAAGACATTCAATGCCTTTGCAGTAATTGCCCCATCTCCCATACACTGAGAAAAAGCTTATGCGTATCACTTACCACCAGGGTGGGTGCTGTCAAGAGTCCCCAAGCAAAAAACTCCAAGAAAATCACTATAACAGCATGGTAGACACTAGGTGAACCTATTCCTTGAGGCTAAAACAAGAGAAAAAACAGGTGATTAAACATCTAACAATCTATCGCAGTCATGAGAACACTATAAACAGAAGGATTAAGAAATGAAACGGGACTCAAAACATTGGAATAAAGTTACTCAAGCTAAATGGTACTAAGTGAAATTCCCTTTTTTATCCCTTTGCTGCTAACGTCCTGAAGTGTCTTAATCGTCCGCAGAACACAAAGTGACCTCCCGTCTCAAATTGAAAAACAAACCACTTATACTGCCAGTCTGGGAAACAAGGATGCTACTGAAAGCCAAAACAGACTCTTCTTCAGAAAATTAGTTCCTTTTCCTCAAGAAAAATGCTTAAGCCCAGTCAATGCTATATGGAAATAAATTTTTCATAATTTCAAAACATGGCAGTGTTCACACTCGGCTATCCCAAAGTCTAATTACCTGGTCTATCAAACAGCTTTATAGTACTTCTGTTACTAAAAGGCATCAGGGCTACATACAAAACTTTGACAGCTCTAAATCAGGAAAGAAAAACTGCAATCGTGAACGTCAGAAGTGAATCTCGGGAACAGCACTGATCGCTTCCCAACTACTGACAGCAGGCCTATTAGCTACAATGTGCTTCAAATGTAGGAAGAGATCTGGATAAAGGATCTCAAATAAGAAACTTGCGATTCTTTGGCGATTTAGTATAATCAGAAGTAGCTTTTGGGAAGAACAAAAAGAGCATGGGTGGGACAACCTGCTCATTTCATATACTCTGTAAATGCTACCCTGTCAAACAGCATGCCACTGTTCATCATTTGCAAATTGAGGAAACAGAGTACTAATTATTTTCATATGAAGGCAGTATGAATAACTCATCAGAAATCTCATATGCATTCTTCAAGCTTAGAAACGCTGCCTTAACATCTACTTTCCCAGCTTTGTGTGAAGGTGAATTACTAAGAGTGGCACTATTTGATCAGACCTAGCATTTATATGGAGCAAACACACACAGGCTAAGGTCCTCCACTGCTTCTCAAGAAGGCTCAGGGGGATCTCATCAACGTGGATAAATAGGTGATGGGAGGGAGTACCGACAACACGGGCAGACTCTTCTCAGAGGCGTCAGTGACGGGACTGGAGGCGCACACTGAAATAGAGGAAATCCTACTTAAACCTTAAACAAAACAAACCCCTGGAAAGAGGTTGCCCCGTGAGGCTGCAGGATCTCCATCCCCCAAACCCGACTGGACACAGTCCTGAGCAAACTGCTCCAGCTGACCCTGTTTGGGGGAAGAGGGTGGGTAGTTCGATTAGAGATGTTCAGAGGCGCCTTCCAACCTCAAATACTACACAATTTTAAGTTTCAGTTAGGCAATACTAGAGTCTTTCTTTTAGTACAAGATTTATACAAGTCATACCTAGCTTTTCTTTCCAGATTCCAGTATTTCCAAGACAGGAAAAAAAAAAAAAAAAGCGCCTTTTTAACAACTGTAGGAAATAAATACAGAAAACCACACTGGCCATTCATGCCTATTGCTAGAAAAGATCATAATTTTCACAAGTAACCATATCAATATGTAAAAGGTGAGCCACAAAAGTACCTTAGCACTGTGCTATTTTTCCTTCCCAAGCCCTCTTCAGTAAATACAGACATACCAATACTGATATTTCTGCTATTTTTTTGGTCTGTTGTCTCAAGGAGGTAAATTATCAGTCTTTATAAGTACAGAAAGTGGCTATAATTATCTCTACTTCCCACAATTCTTTCCCTTTCCACCTACAACCCTTATTTTAGTTTTGGGTTAAAATTTATCCAGCTCTGCACAAACCATAAGTAACAATCTTAGCTGTTTGGCTCAGCCTCATACAGAAAACCAGGTTCACTCTTATAGTCCCCAGATGCCTGTCAAGTTACTGGCTCATGACCCCCCAGAGTATTAACAGGAGGTGGGGTAGGAATCACGAACCGTCCCTGTCCCTCTAAGCACCAGGGGTCAAAAGCACCTCCGTTCTGCTCACACACCGCAAACACAAGCTCAACAGCCACCTGTCTCTGTGCTGCCCCTGTCCAGTTCTGGGCAGCTACTCGGAGGTCACTCACGCAAACCAAAACAGCAGAGTGAAACCAGTGGCTGTTCTGCACAGCTAAACTGTTGGCGATCTTAGAGGCATGCAAGTGGGTGACTGCTGCCCTCTGCCATGTCATCCAGCTGTACGCAACCTGATCAGATGCTTCTGTTACACTGGCAGGAACAAACAGAAGTGACATTTAGATCACTAGGGTTAAAATTCCTTGCTTTCTTCTTTCTAATGCTTACTTATCACAGGTACTGCTACTGGTTCTTAGCTATAAGATAAGAAATAATTTAGTCACATTTACATCATCACCTCTACAGCTACTTTTAAAGACAGTTGCAACTATAAAGTAGCAAAAATACTCCTGACATGGAAGAAAGAGGGAGGAAGATTAATGAGTGGTTGCATTACAGTGCATTAAGACATCCTATGTGCGTTCAGCCCACAAGACTGAAGTACTAGTCTGGTGTACCCTCCCACCCCAACACATACAGCACAGGTGTCACAAACCTGCGCCGCTGTGCTTCACAAACTGGCTAACGTAATGTAATGTAATAACCTAAGTGCAACCAAATCAGAAGGTCTTACACCTGGAGATAAAAGCCAGGAAGCCTTTGTGTGAAACACCTGGAACTGAGATGTTCCAATCACTGTAACAGTAACCCTTCTCTGCAACCATGTATCCAGAGCAGAGCATATTTACGTTTGGCAGTATCTGTGGCACAAAACAGTACTCTAAGAATGCCCCTTTCTCTGGTTAGAGAGAAAATGCCTTTAACCAAACACTTTGTACTGTCACTCACACCAGTGATAAAAAACGTGTATGCCAGGCAACCGCAAGAACACACATCTGACAACAACAGAACAACTACCAAATAACTAACAAAGGCATCAGATAGAAGATCACAGCTTGCTTCTCCTCTCCCAGAAAGGAAAAGGCACCAAATGAAAGTACTAAGCTCTAATTCTCTCTCGCGTTGCCCAGGTGTGTACCTCCTAACTCATTTCATGACTGCTTCAAAAATGCATAATCTCACATAAGATGAAATCCAACTGGTCATAAAGGAAGGCAAAATTAAGAACAGTGTTGAAACCACTTTGCTGGTGTTACTGCCTCTCCTTTGGTGAATCTGACAACATACGCTTGAGTAGACACACCATTACGCAATTTTTTCTGTGATACATCTACTAAGAGAACAACACAAAAACCCCACCGTGCACAAACCCAACCTCCTGCACCACCCACCGCCTCGCCAAGGGGACCCAGCATCGCCTGTGGTGGGAGGAGAGGCTTTGCAGGGGTAATGGGCAGTTTTTCCATTTTGCTTAGTTTTTTTCTTTCCACATCAGAATCAGTGATTAGAAGTGACAAGAAATTAAATTAACTGAAGTTCCCCATCAGTAAACTCTTTTTGCCTGTGACACTGCCTCATTAAACAAGTGTACAGTCTTGCCGGCAAGAGGCACACAGTTTTCTTTGATGTCAAATAGTTTCAAAATAAAGCAATCAGGCTGGAAACTATACACTTAGATGTTTGATTAATTACTGGTTTGCCAGTTGGAGACATCCAAGACATAGGCCATTTTCTTTTACCTGTTTCCCACAATGTCACATGCTGGGTAAGCAAAGAAACTGAGGACACTGAGTGCAGAAAGCTAATTACACATTTCAGCAAACATTAAAAAAAAATTAAAATTCAAGCATAAAGTTTTTGCTGTCATTATAAAGAATACTTCACTATACCAGACTCTATAACTTTATAAATGTATTTGAAGCAAATAAATTCTCAAAACATTTATTTGAAGGCAGAAAATATCATAAGCTGGTATTTTTGTTATCTAACAACAATCTACATACCTTAATCAAATGTTTACAGCCCATTTTTCCACTGTTTTAAAAACAATGGAAAAGCATACAGACCTCATCCAAGTTTGCACTCTGCTTTTGAAACTGGTGGCAGATACTGAATGCAGCACCATAAGTACCACTGAATGCAGTTGTTATCACATCCTTTCTCCTCTCTTGGCAACAGAAAGTTAAAGTTGAGAGATAAAGGACACTTGGAAGTATACTGTATTGTAATCAATGATTACTCCAGAGAGAAATTCTGAAGCACCACACATCCCACCAAGTAACAACATTTCCTCTGCCTCTATTACTTGTTCTAAAATATTTGCATTTAACATTTGTACAAGGTAATGTCATACATTTCTATCTTTACAAAGAGCAGGAAAACATGTCCTGGAAAACATCAACACCCATGATTGGATTTAGCTTTGCTTCTTCCCACTAAATAATCCAGACAGTTGGTCACCAGTTCGATGAACAACTATAGCGACTTTGACACCTCACTCTTCTCCATTATTGTTCCAAAAAGACAAACTGAAGGGCCACCAGCAATTTAGTCTGTCAAGATGTCTCTTTATTTGAAATAACAATACTGTATTTAGAAAAGTGCACATCAAAGCTACACAATATTACACAGTGGAAAAAATCCAGGGGAAATGATACATAGGAAGTAATGCTACTCATCAATTAAAAATAACAAGCTCCAGCACCCAAAACACTTTAACAGCTTCCTTTCTTTTTAAAATGTATGTATTTAAGAGGAAGCAAAATAGTGGGAGGGAACTGTAAAACACTTCTTCCAGGCACCCTTTACGGGACTTCTCTGATGCCGGAGTCTGCCCCACTCGCAGCACACTACGGAAACAGACGGGACAGAAGGCTGCCGTGACGGCGACCCA